CCCTTTGTGGAGGCATCTCCAAGGATCTGGTCTGGGTTCCACCAGTTCCTTGGGTTTAATAACAGCAACCTTGAAATCAAATTATTTTGTCTGTGGACCACACCAAACACAGAGAATTCTTTCCACTACAGGAATCTCATTGTGTTGAACTTTGGAAGAGCTGGACAATTCTGCAGGTTGGCAAAACACCTTGGGGGGCAGGGGACTGATAAATTACTTCTTGCTTCATCTTCCCCCGTCTCTCTTTTTTCTCCCTAAACTACATCTCTTTTTCTGGAGGAAGGGAGAAAACAATTTTTTGGGTTAAGTCACATTCCCAAATCTATCTGGAATCTTGCAATCTCTGGATTTTAATTGTGGCATGCACGATCTCTGAAGAGCTAAAAGCCACTTAAGCTGTCAGCTCCAGTTCAATGCACTTTTGAAGACAATCTCATAATTATATACACATGGCCACAGAGATGAAAAAGATGGCCTGGGGTCTAATCCTTCTTCTTCAGTGACCATCATCTGAGACCTGACTAGGAGAACAACAGCTCTTTTGGGCTTTGTTTTCCAAAGCTTGATGAACTAGGGCGGGAGGCACATTTACGCACATCCACATGAGGCCCAGAATTTGCACAATGCTCATCTTCCACAGCTGGGAACATGCTTTGGCTTCCACGGTTCTGACGTTTCAACTTCATCCAAGTGCTCCAAGATTTCCTCCTCCTTTCCAATGTTCAGATATTTTTGAGTCGTATTGAATTCAGCCTTGGTTTAACTTTGCACCTGAGGCTCAGGTTGGGTGAAGCATTTGGAAGAGGAGCAAGACACCTTCAGGCAGATCCAGGCTGGACTTCAGGAGGAACTTCTGACTATCCAGTGGAACAGGTGGCCACATGATGCAGTGAGCAATCCTTGGCTGAAGTCTAAGATGCTTTGGACCAGAGTTTCTCAACCTCGGCGACTTTAAGATGGGTGGACTTCAACTCCCAGAATTCCCCAGCCAGCCAGGCTGGCTGGGGCATTCTGGGAGTTGAAGTCCACACATCTTAGAGTTGCCAAGGTTGAGAAACACTGCTTTATTGGATTCTGCACTTGAGGGGTAAGGCTAGATGACTTCTAAACTCCTTCCCACTTTTATGATTCTATTTCCCCAAAGAACCTGAATGTAGAAAATGTGTATTATTCTGCCACCACCGTGTCCCTAGGGGACAGGGATACGCAAATGACATCTTTTAGAGGGCTCCATCTGCGAGACAGTAGTCAGAGGTTACTCTAGAACTAGAATCTGACTTTGGGGAGGATTATGCTGGCAGAAAGACTAAAATGTGGAGTCTTCACTCTCTGCAAAGCTCCAGATAACCACTTCACTCCTTCACCTAGCCCAAACTCAACCCCCCATTGCAAAAATGCTCGCCCCCATTCGTCCTGAGGAGTAACTAAAGAGCATCGGTAGGTTGTATCCTACCCGCCTAAGTCTACCTCTTGCATTCTTCTATAAGGTCATAGATTTTCCCACTATTTCTCATCTGCCAAGCGTAGCAATGGCACCAGGCTGTGTCCCTCCCAGGGACCTTCAGCAAATAAAACCAACATCTCTCAACTGTGTTTGATGAGTTGCACCCAGCAATGGCAAACTTTGTCCCCACTTCCCAGTGTGTGAAATGAGCACCACAAATCTCTCTGGGTTAGTCAGAAGTAAAGTTTTATTG